CGGGGCGCTGCCACAGGCTTCCGCAGGAAGTGCTGCAGGTGACGAATTCCGGGCTTTCGTGCGGATGCCTACTCCAAGCCAGGGTCGCCAGGGTCCAGACCACAAAGGTGCTTTCAAGGCTGATGGGTGCAAATTGTAGGGTCTACCTGGCAACAAATACGACATGAAGCAGCATCCTCGTTACACTACATGTCAAACCGGGCTTGAATGCAGGTGTCGAAGCAGTTCAGTCTGGGGCAAATTCGCTGTATAGGAGGGATCACTTGCAAGGGCTGCCGGTGCTTTACTCCGTAGTGGAGCGAAACCCGAAACCTTAAGCCCTAAACCGTAAAAATCCTGAATCTTTTTCCCCAGAGCGTGAGCCCTACACCTTAAAGCCTAAACCCTGCACTGCACCCTATAACCTCAAACCCTAAACCTCAAACCCTAAACCCTAAACCTCAAACCCTACAGCCCTAGCTCTGCTTGCTCCTCCCCATCAAGTGACGCGCCCAGTTGTTTCTCTGTGAGGCTCAGCCCCCAGTTCCCGAAGCATCGGAAAGCCAAGCCCCCAAGAAATCCTAAAAAAAGAGGGCCTTCATAATTGGAATCGGGTTTGGGGGGGTCCTTATTTAGAGTATAATTGTAGTAAGGGGCCCCCAACATATTTAAAGGTAATTGTTAAGGCTCGGGGAAGCCCTGCATAGAGTCCTAGAGTTCCCGCATTTCGGGTTCCTATAAAAGACTCCTCGGATGATTTGGATCCCCTAAACCCTAATTCCTCGGATGATTTGGGAATTTGGGCTTGGAGTGGATCCTGGCCATCGGATTCAGGCCACACCGCTGCACCAGCATGACGCCGTCAACGCCTCAGCTTTTGCAGTAGACCCATGACGATTTTCGGGTGTAGGCTGCAGGGTTTATACCATGCAGGGCCTTAGTACTTCCTGTATCAGGAACTGCTACCTATAGCACCCGCAGACCCAAAACACAAACCATAGTCTTTTATCGCCCCGTAGCTGTATGGTACTATGGCTTTCAAATTGCAAAGGATTCCACAAAGGAACACCCAGAGGGAGGACTCACTCAGCATGAGTCCGTGACCGTGTATCCCAGAGCCTGTCCTGCACCAAAGCCCTATTGCAAGTATTAAGGTCTGCAAGCCCATGATCGGGTGATTGAGTTCGCGCGCCTACGACAGCCACTGCCACAAAGCCTCAAAAAAGAGGATATAAGGGATCTACGAAGGTAGTTCTCTGGAACAGGATGGGTCCCCAATATACTACGGCACCCTTACGAAAAGGGACCCTTATTTAGAGAGCATTGCTCATGAGGCTCTTATAAGGGTTCTTAGAACAGGTCGAGACGGGGGTCTTTAAGTGTTCTATCAGGGTTGGGGGTTCGGGCGTGGGTGGGTTAGGGGTTTAGAGTTTAGAGTTTAGCGTTTACGATACATGCATACTCCACACTTGCGGTTTGGAGCGGGTATTTAAGTATAGTTAGATAAAGGCTATAGGGGGATCGATGGGGATACTAGTACGCTCCTTATTATGGTAACTTAAATATTGAATCCCTTCAGGGTTTTGGAGAAAAATAGTTGGCATAGTGGTCAACGGAGGGATGTAGAGGCCTGGAGCGATTCGTGATCACAGATCAACAACAAGCCACTGAATAGGGTGTTTAGGGTTTAGGGTTTAGGGCTGCAAAACTCTTGCCGGCATCCCAACCCCTAAACCCTAAACCCTAAACACATACGTAAAGCATCTGCCGATACCTGAAACAAACACCCCCAGCGACCCCTAGAGCCTAATTAAACCTAAACCGGTCAACGCACAAGTGTGTCCCTCCTCTTAGCCCCTTTCAGCCCTGTCACAAAACGCCCACAAGCTGACGACTCTTCCCAAAGAGCCGAAAACCCCTTATCCAAGGCACACGGATTCAAGCCGGGGCTTTCTATCTTGCTTCAAGGTATATTCCGTACCTAAGGGGTGTTAGCCCTGAAGCGCCGATACCCTGAACCGTAGATTACTTTTGCTATCCTTGCCTCTGAACCCAAACCTTAAGCCAACATGGAGACCCAAGCAGTGTCCATTGGGTGAAGGGTTTATCAAGGCTTCATGGATGTGCGATAGGGGCTCTAAATAAGAAGAAAATGGTTTCGGGGTATATTGGATGAACATGTCGAGGAGCTGTGAGCGAATACTTTGTTACTGGTAACCAAGTAGCTTCAGGTCCATACTCCTCAGCTGGGATCTATCCTATTCAGGACATCTCAAAACAAATCCTTGCCCAGCTCGTGGCCAGAGATGTAAGTGGGCGCCCCAGGGGTGACAACTTGACGCAGCACTCGCCTCGACGTTCGGGTTTTGCTGGAGTGGGGCCTGCGAGAAAACAGCTAACTACTCTTAATGTTTAGGGTTTGGGGTATAGGTTCAATTTCGGGAAAACTACTGCAGAGACAAGCCGGCCACTAGTTAATGGACCCCATTCCATTATGACATCAACACGGGCTATAGTGACATCGTGCATTACGGGCCTTACGAGTGTTTTTCATCAATCTACGTGAGAGTTCGCGCTTAGGCTTTAGGGTTTACAGGGGCTTAGGGTTTAGGGGTTTAGGGTCTTTCGGGATTTGGAAGTTCAAGTTCAGGCTGCAGAATCTGGCAGCTTTACAGTTTGGCGCATATGTATATATTTATATGGTTTCAGGTTTGAGAGAGTGATTTGTGGCTTTCATAGGTAATTAGTTGGCAGACGCTGGAAGCAACCCTCACTTCAGACTTTCGAGAACCTTGCGGCAAGACCAGGGCCCGACATTTTCAAAGCCTGATCATGAAGCCTAACCTAAACCCGATAACAAGCCCAAGCCTAAAGTCTATAAACCTTAACCGCGATCAAACCCAAACACTTAAACCCCTAAGCCCTTATGAACCCTCAATCCCGAAATCCAGCCTCAAACAGCACCAGCCCCAAACAGCACCAAAGCCCCCGGCGTCGTCTTATCTTCCTGCGTCTTAACGAAGACCGGCGGAGAGGTCCTCAGAGTCAGTTGGGAGTTCAGGGCTTATGATATAAGGCTTACGGGTTTCGGGTTTAAGCGTTCAGGGAAGAGACTGCAACAATCCATGAAGTTACTCGACCTGTTTCCTCGGGACTGTAAAGGTTGACCTTTGGGATTATACAGGGGTTATGGCAGCCGAAACAGGTTAAAGGTTACTTTCCCCACCAGGGTCCAAGTAGACCATAGTCTTTATCAACGGTTTCCTACAACACGACTATCCTAAACTTCAAAATACTAATCAATTGTTGGCGCCGTTGGGTTTTTACATAACGTAAGGCCTGAGTAAATACCAATGCCATTCTCTATTTCAGGTTCCTTGCTAGAAGTAGTAATGAATATACCACCAGAACCTTCCAATTATTTGGGCCCTGCACGTACTAATGGTAGCCCTTATGGACACCTTTACAGGGACCTTTTTCGAGTCAAGCAGGCACCTATGTGAGGGGCTGGTCCCGATCGAGACCTTGTGTTTCTTCCTCAGCATCCCAGGCTTCCGATTGCAGGGTTCGTTTGAGCGGCGCGTGGGCGTGTGTGTCTGTGGGTGTTCTGTGGCAAGCTCGACTAACAAAACAGGGACATAAAAGAGTTACTACAAGGCTTCCATAAGGGTGCTAAAAGCCTCACAGGGTTTCAACTATTAGACCAGGCCTTGGGCGTGCAAGTATTATACCGCAGCAGATATAACAAGGAAGCGTAACGAATAGTATCGTCATTATCCAAGCCATATTAGTACTCAATCCTTCTTTTGTCGTCATCATCATACCACAACAATAACACACAAAGCTGCTTTCATCCTCCGCACCAGCGTCGCAACGCCTTGTGAATTTCACTCTCGTCCTTATACCATCTTCATCGTCGTCATCATCACAGCTATGACCGTCATCACCATCGTTGCAACGCCGCAGACAAGCATTGCACCCAAACCCTACAGCAAAACGGTGCATGAAGCCTAAATCCCAATAACCCTTTGTTTCCTGCACCGTCTGTTTCTGCAGCCGAGGCGCAGCCCAGGTAGTCCAAAGTCTGCTGCAGATTGGCTTTGTTGACGGGGAAGCCCGCGCGAGCTTTCCTGCCAGCCCGGCCCTAAGGGGAGAGAATTACATCGGAGGGCAAAACTCCCTGGTAGGGAGCTTGTCCAGGAAAAGATGTGCTCTGGGCATATTCTTTTTGCTCCTCGCCATCAGAAAGTGCCAGATGTAATCATCTACAGTTCTTGTTCAATGAGCGCGAGGCTCAGCGGCGGCCTCCCTTCTCGGTCACAAAGACCTCATCGTGAAAGTCTGGACACCGAGATCCCGAAACGGGGCCCTTCTGAGCTGGGATGCCGGGTGACTCTCCGTAAGGGTTTAGGGCTTCGTCTTTATAGGGTTTACGGCTTCAGGGTTTAAAGTTATAAGAGCGCACAAACAAACACACACACACACACCCCACGACTGCACCTCAGCATTCCCCAATTTCGGTCTCGTTGCAAACCCCGGCTGCGGGTTGGCTGCAACCATCGTTTCGAGGCTTTGATCAGAACGAAGTTTTCTGCTGCTTCAGATGGCGTGTTGCTCTCAAGAACCGAACCCCCGCAACAGCTCAGGCGCCTGGCAGCCGACGCTGACGCTTCCTCCGCCTTCTTGGCCTCGGCCCTCTGGCGCCGCTCCGCCAGGTACGCCAGGGCGAAGGTGACCAGCATGACGATGCAAATTCCCTGATCTTCGGTTCAACTGCCATGCTACCCGCATAAAAGTGCGAGGAAGGAAGGAAGGCCCTGCTACCCGCATAAAGTGCGAGGGAGGAAGGGAGGGAGGGAGGGAAGGGAGGGGAAATTAGGAAGAAGGACGGTTTGGGACCCCAGGGCCACAGCAGCCGGGTGTCTCCAGCAATAGAGCAAATCAGGAACACCAGGACGCGCTGCGTCAAAGTGGACTTCGCCCAGTGCAGGTCGTTGGCCTCCGCTTCACAGCTGAAAGCCGCAGCACCCCTAACCTAACCCCCAGCTCAAAAGCTCTCCCACTGAATGCGAGCCAGTCACGATGAGGCAGGTAGTCAGGCCTGTTATGGTCAGGCTCACAATCAAAAGGCCGATCTCTGCACGGTTCCAGTCATCTGCCTCACCTGCACAAACAGGACACGACTAGAGCACAGCCCTTGAAAGGACCCAATTGAAGACTTGAACTGCTGCATCCACGAACATGCACTTTATTGGGCCAGGCCGCCTGATATGGCCAGAAGTATAAATGCGCCACCAGGGACGCGATGAGAACCAGAGTCACGGCTTCCATCTGAAGTGCCTTCAGAGCTCCCCGCTGCGTCCCAGAGACGGCACAACTCTCTCCCTCCATGGAATCCCAGTTCGACATGGGAAGGTATCTATGTGTATAGTTGCTTACTTTGAATGCATATACACACATATGTGTATACATACACGCGTACATACATACATCCATACATCCATCCATCCATCCATCCATCTATCCATCCATCCATCCATACGTATACGTACATACGTACGTACGTACGTTCATACATACATAAACATAAATGAATATAAATATATGTAAATGTAAATATAAATGAAAATAGGAATATGAATATAATATAAATATATAGATACAAATATTACATACATAGATATTGTTGACTCATATGTATATGTAGGTAGGTAGGTAGGTAGGTAGGTAGGTAGGTAGGTAGGTCGGTCGGTCGGTCGGTAGGTAGGTAGGTAGGCAGGTAGGTAGGTAGGTAGGTAGGTAGGTAGGTAGGCGGGCAGGCAGGCAGGCAGGCAGGCAGGCAGGCAGACAGGCAGACAGGCAGGGTGTAGGTAGGTGGGTGGGTAGGTAGGTAGGTAGGTAGGCAGGCAGGTAGGTAGGTTTAGGTAGGCACGTAGGTAGGTAGGTGGGTAGGTAGGTTTAGGTAGGTAGGTAGGTAGGTAGGAAGGTAGGTCGGTAGGTGGGTAGGTAGGCAGGCAGGTAGGCAGGTAGGCAGGAGGCTCGGCAGCCAGCCAGCCAGCCAGGTAGGCAGGCGGCCAGGTAGGCAGCCAGCCAGCCAGCCAGGTATGTATTGGTATGTATGCCTGTAGCTTGGTGTTTCGCTAGGTACGTAAGTATTCCAATCTTTTTCGGGGTGCCCTGGCTGCTGTGCCGACGAGGCCACGGGCGACAAAGTGACAGGCAGGACGGTGGCGATCAGCGAAAGGACCACCTGGCAGGAACTTTTCTATCGTTCTTCGGGTTTAGGGTTAGGTTTTGGCTTGATGGTTTTGGGTTTAATTTATGGGAGCCCTAGAAGCACAGGAATCGCTCCTTTCAGGTTGCTGGGTGATTATAGAATTTGTTCGTTTTCGCTTCTTGTGGCTCGACACCGTGCGCATCCGTGCGCACCATGAATGTCCTACCATGACCTTGACCCACAGAAAATCTGCATGTGCACTTGAGCCGACCAGGAGCCCTCCAGACTATGTGAAACCAATGATACGGATGCTGCACAAATGGTCACATTTGCGGCGAGCATTGCGGCGGGTCTGTATACCCCTCCCTCGGCCCCCCAATGCAGGCCTTACGCATCAGCCGCTCCACCTGGCGGTCATGGCAGCTTACTTGCGGGCACTTCACCGATTGTTTCGCCCCGAGACGAAAACGAAGTGCCAAAGAGAAGAACAAACACATTCGAGCTGCAAAGTACCCTAAAGCCCCAAACCCAAACCCAAAACCCCGAAGCCCCAAACCCTCATACAGTCCTAATAAAAACCTTATGGTAACCGGTAACCCTTTAACCTTTGAAGGAAGCGCTCTTCAGGCTACGACTATAGGGTCGATCCGACAAGACAAGGCTGGCCTCCCAAATGGCACACTCAGGTCGGTATGCCTGGCAGAGCTCTGGGGTTTAGGGTTCAGGCTTTTAATGTAGGGGTTTTAGGGCTGCAGGCTTTTCGGATGTTAAGGTTTACGACTCCGGTCAACCTGCCTGAATCAAATAGGCCACGTGCGGTCGTGTCTCCTTCGGCGATCGGGTTCTGACCTGTTGCGGCTTCGGGTCTATAGGGCTTACTGGCTCAGGGTTTACAGGGCTTATCAGGCAGCTGAACAGCGAATGTGTGTCTCTGGCGACCGTCGTCGACCAAGGCACAGTGTAGATCCAGCTGCACACGCTCAGCGCGGAGAAGCCCACGATGGCACCCAGCACTGCTGCGATCCGCAGCGGAACGTAGGAACTCATCTGCGGGTCGGGGGGAAGGAAATCCAGATGCAGCGCCTGAAGTACGTCGAGCTCTTACCTCAACCGGAACCCCAAACTAATAAACCCTAAACTCCAAAGCCTTATATACCATAAACCTCAAAACGACTACCCCAGCGCGAAGGCCAGGGCCTCGTTTTCTGATTCAGGCCGCAGCCGGAAAGCCACGAGGTACCTAGGCCATGCGACGTTATACATAGAACCCTATAAACCCGAAACACCTATTACTATAGAAATTCTCTATGGCCCAGATCCATATAAAACAAAGTCCTAAAACACGGCTTCGCCAACCTTAATTAAAACTTTGCGACTTTGCAAGGACCGCCAAGGCACTTTCCGAATCCGGCGATGAAGGCTGGCAGGAACACGTTGCTTCCAACCACGGCCGCAAGCCAGCCGCCCTTCAACACGGCGAGACCTGCCTCGGGTCAGTGGAAGGTGCACTGAAATTCGGAGCACCTTCGGTTGACCCTGGTCTGATTGAAAGCTTTAAGCCATCCACTCAATGCGGCTCAGGGTGCCACAAGCAGCGCTGGCCAGAGGGACATTAGCATGTGGACGTGGTGGATGCCGCTGTCCATGTTAAGCAGCTGAAGCAGGCACTGGCCTGACATGCTGCTGCTGCCGCCGCCATCACTGGAGCCTTGCCCCTGGGCGACGGATGCCGGCACAGCCAACAGGTGGAGGGCAACCTGCGACGGCGAGCTATGAGAGGCTAAGATAACTTGAGAACAAAGGCAGGGACGTAAGGGTGCCAGCACGAGAAGGCGGCTCCGGGGTCCTTTGCTGCATTGTCGAGATCTTTCTTGAAAGTGCCCGTCTGCATGGCGCCGGACCTCGGGAGCCCAACAAAGCTCAGCACGAAGCTTCTGCAGAGCCCGAAGCAGACCTCCTTAAACTTCGTACTTTCTGTTGGTTCTCATTCTGTAAAAATACCCCGGTATAGATTTGATAGGGACCTTAGTCCAAACTAGGCATATAGGTAGTTGTACAGGTACTCAGGCACCGTTTTTTGTTCCGAGCCACATGGTCACACCGGCTACAGCGGCGAAGGACATGGCCTGATTCAGCAGCGTGGCACTGGCGGCCCTTTTGCCCCCGCTGCCCTCCACCTCATGATGGCAGGGACCCGAGCACACACCCGCACCGGCAGCAAATGCTGCTCAGGCTTTCCCTTACACCCTGGGGCAACGGCACTGACAACGGCCGAAACGAAGAGGGCCAGGTTCTTCAAGAGAAAGAAGCTGACGTACCACACCACCTTGAAAACCGCACTGCCCACTTTGTGTCTGTTCCCTCTGTTTGCTCCCGGCCTGCTTTGGTGAGGTTGTCCAGTTGGCGCAGGGGATGCACTGCAGAACATCTGCATCTGCACGCGCGTGGCCTTCAGTGCAGCTCGTGCACCTCGACGCGGTTTCAAGGAGTGTCGCCCTCGATGCCTTCGCTTCCCTTATACATGCTTCTCTCTTTCTTTCTTCCCTCTTGCGGTCTTTCCATTCTCTCCCTTCTCCCCTCCCTCCTCCACCTCAACCTCGTTATGCAAACCCTTTTTCCCTCCCTCCCGTTTCCTCTCCATCCCTCCCTGACTGATGAAATCCTGCTCCGACGGCGCTGTGCTACTGGCGGGCCAAGATGAATGACAACTCCACCTCTGAACTGGGTCCCTGTAAAAAGGTTCGATTGAAGTTACGAGCACCCTACTAAGGAAGCCACACAGTTCACAATAGATCCCTATTTTGGTAGCATGGCGGATTTCAAATTGACGAGACAGCGACTGTCGAGTCTAACCCTGCAGGCTTCAGGGACCGTTCTCTTTTTTTTTCTCTCTCTCTCTCTCTCTCTCTCTCGCTGTGACTTCTGCGGGCGCAAATTTGCACCAAGCGTCCCGGGGCCACGATAACCCTCTTCACACATGGGCTCCAGCTCCTGCCAGCACACACCATGACACTTGCTCCCCTCATAGTCCCCGATGTCTGCAATGATCGCAGAATGTTCTCGCGATGGCTACGGTGCATCCAAAGCATCGCCAATCAAAGCTAGTCCCACGTCTCCAGCCTTGGAGTTGATCTCAGAATCCCCAAAGGCCCTCCAACCGCCTGAGAGGCATTCACCTCCAACCCCGGGCCCCGTCCTCCGCGCGCGCCCCGGGGACGCTGCTGGCATTGAAGTGTCCGCCGCGGCAGGCCTCAGCTAATCACGGCGTATACTCAAGGCTCACTACGTCGCAGGCGGAGCCAACCTCTGCGCGGGTCATCTGACATACAACTTCAATTTTCAAGTGCAAGGGGCCATCTCATTGGGGCACCGATACCAGGCAGAGAAATCGGCGGCCACGTCACGATCGAACTCCACCTCTGCGAGAGCTGGGGGGCATCGAACAGCGGTTATAGAGTTGAGCTGAAGGATCTGAGCTATAGCCCAAGGCCCGGACCATGTAGCCGGGCGGCACACGCAGCTCCGTGGATGTGCAGCCAATGGTGACGTTCCCCATGTTGGGGCACGGAGTGCAGCGGGCATCTTCCTGCACAACACAGCGAGCTAAGAGACATCCCGCGGCATAGACATGCGGCAGTGAGAAGCCAAAAGGGACAAGCTTTGGAAGCTCCAGCGGCACACCGTTTTTATCTTCTACTTGTTATATTATATATACACACACACACTCTCTCTCTCTCCATATATATGTATATGTATATATATATATATTTATACAGATTTGTGAAAAAGCGGATGCCACACTAACCTTGCGAAGTCGAAGCCCAGGCTTTCGCGATCTTCCATGCAGCCGTCCCCATGCTCGGCTCGTTGATGACTACACCATATATATATATATATATTTATTTATAATATACTATATTATATTATATTATATTATATTATATTATATATTTATATGTTATAAAGCCAAATTGGTGGCTTCTGACCCTTGGGTGAAACTAACTGACCCTTGGGCTTTGTTCCATTGTGGATGTATGTATGTCTGCATGTATGCATGCATGTATGTGTGTGCGTGTGTATGTATGTATGCATGTATGTGTGTATGTGTGTATGTGTGCATGTATGCTTATGCTTGCATGTATGTATGGCAGCGTCATGGCCAATGAATGTCTATGGAAGAAACAGCAGCAAAGACAGGGTCCTAATACAGTGATCCCACCATAGGGACATATTTGTTGGTGGATAGGGACTTGTTTTATTGGTGTTTCGTAACTTTGGGATTGATACCTCATCCAAGGCCCGGTAACAGAAGACCCCGCGGCCCAATTCCGCACACCTCTGAGGTCGTGACGCTTGTGGGACCAGCAGCTTACACTCCGACGATGCACTTTGGTTTAGTTGTGTAAGACTGAAAAAGTCTCTAACCTTACCCTAAGCCCTAAGCCCCAATGCTAGAGCCCATTATTTCATCGGCTGTCGAAAGCTAAGTTTCCGGATGCTTGCAACCATCTAATGGCAATCACACAATGTTATATCTATCTTTTTAATCTATAAACATAATAATATTCTAAAACCGAGAAGCTGGGTGAAGTAGTCTCTTTCGGAATCGTCCCTCTTATCTTCGTCTGGTCTTCCACACATACATACATACACACATACATACATACACACGTACACACATGCATGCATCCATGCATGCATGTATACATACATGCATACATGCATACATCCACACATGGAACAAAGCCCAAGGGTCAGTTAAGGGTCAGTTAGTTTCACCCAAGGGTCAGAAGCCACCAATTTGACTTTATATTATATTATATTATATTATGTTATACTATATTATATTGTACTATATTTATCTTATATGTACACCTCTTGTAGGCGTGATTGTTATCATACAGCCCAATATTGGGTTCATAGGGACATCAAAAAATGAAGTAGGTTCTGACAGGGTCTTCCGGCTTCGAGCTCCGGGTTTGCAGTGATCTCACAGTAGATGAACTCGGAGACGTTTGATTCTCATTTCTCATAGGTTTCAGAGTTTCAAGTCGTGCTGCTTCACCGTGCTGCCGGGACAAACCGCACAAAGCGCAAGCGCCTCTCACGACAGCACTCTGTAATTAATTTACGGTACCCGACTAGCTCCCCAAACACAACCGAGCCTTATCGACCGCAACGAGGCGGATCTGTCTCGCTGGGCATTCTCGGCACGACGTGCTATCGTCGTCTGCCAGGGATTGGCGGCTCTCTCCTCGCTGACACAGGAGCCGTGCCAGCTGCATCTGCGCGACAGCCAGGGTGCAGCCGGGTACTTCGCTGCAGTCCACTCTGTCAAGCGTCACGACCGCTTCATCTCCAGCCGCAATAACGTTTGGAGACGCTGGCACGAGACTTGATCCGCTGTGAAGCATCAGGCTTGCGATGTTTGCCTCGCCAGACTCCAGGTGCAGGCACGCTGAAGTCGGAGCATGGCAATGGGTGCAGCTGATCTGCTGCGACACGAGCTTTCCTTGGGCATAGATGGCACCACCTGTGCCTTTTGCTTTGCAGCCCCTCAAAGACAGCGGGGCAGCGAGCTCGGCCCCGTCTCTCACGTAGACACAGCCGCCGTGGCTCGCGGCAGAGCAGTTGAACACCTGCAGCCGCCTTGCCTCTCCGCACCATGTCATGCGCACAAACGGTAGGTTCAACCATCCCTACAAGTTAGGAGGCGGAGAGAAACATGGCAAAGGGAAGCTTCCAGCATCAAAAGCTTTGAATTCCTGCCTTATTGTGGATCCACGTCGTCAGGATGCCTCCGCCTCTGTCAGCCTGGGAGTCCCCGATGGTCAGCGTGGCCATCTCCTCTATCGTAATGTTGCCACGCGAGCAAATGCCACCTGGCCGTGGAAACCCTCCCACTAAACGAATCGGCAGCATGCCAGCGGCTCAAAAGGCCTCAAGACTCCTAGAAACCCGGGCCCGGTGCCTCCTCCGCGACTGGCTTTGCAGCCCGCCAGGCTCACCGCGCCGCCGGACTGCGTGAAATCGCTCCAAGTGTGAATGCAGCCTCCAGGGCAGGGCAGGTGTGGATTCGCCGACTAGGCCGAGGAAGCAGCAGCCTTCCCGACAGTCATTCACTGAAAGCTCGACATGTTTGCAGTAGCAGCTTGACCACTTTGTCTTCGTCTCACGATACCACGGCCAAATATTTCCAGTGAATGCAGCACGGGGGAGGCTTCAGCCTGTGATACAACCGCTAGCCACGAGTCTAAAACGTCCAAAGGATGAACTTCAATCAGCTCACGAAACAACAAGCGGCGGCAGGATCAGGCTGCGACAAAGCTCTTGCAACAAGCCACTGAAGTACCCAACATACAAGAAGGCAGGTTCAAAGTTTTCTCGAGTTGGGGATCGAACTGTTGCAGGTCTGAGAGTAATACTTATACAAGCAATCCTGCCAGTTTCCTTAATTTCTGGGCGGGTCGTTTCTCGGGAGCTCCCGACAGGGCTCTTCACAGCAAGAGCTTGCAAATGGCATCTGTTGCTCCAACTACTGGGCTACGTGTTGCCCCGAAAGCTCTCAGCTTGTATCAAGTTTAATTAAAGTTTAATTCGAAGAACCCTCCGCCGGAAAGTTACTTCAGACTTCAGGCTTCCAGAGCCAACAGTCAACCTGTGGACGTGGCTGCTGGCCGCTGGAAACGAATCTGAATGTTGAATTTCACGGACAAGCATGTGGAAGAGGGTGGCACTGCTCGTGGGAAAGACTGCCCATCAGCAGCGGAGCGACGCACAGATGCATCATACATGTAATGTGTTTCCGCCTTGACGACTGAACACCTAAACATTGCTTACTTGCCACGCTGCAGCACAGGCTGCATCTGCCTGCAAACCTCTCACGCCTTGAACGCGAAGACCCCTCCGCCCCAAAACTGCTGAGCCCATGACGCTCTGCGTGCCACTTCTTTGGGGGGATCCCTCGTCCCCTGTTCTAGGACCAAGAACGCGACCCACTCCCCCGCTGCCTCCATCCCCACGCTTAGCCTTCGACTCCTTGATGCTCACGCCACCACCGGAGACGTGCATGTTCGCGACATCGATGGC